TTCGCCGCAATCAGTACGCCACGGTGCGCTGACACATATTGTGAGGTGGTCAAAATTATGGTCCATCTTTGGGTCTCCCAAATATCAGGGGCCGTGTCATGCAAAAAGGGACAATCATGTTGACAACCTACCACATCTAGATTCGGCAAAATCGAACATTATTTCCGCAACCTCCAGGACCCCATGACTCCTAGGGGCAGTTTGTTTAGAACATCTGGGAGTTTACTGAATGAGGTCTACATCATCGGTGAGGGGATTCTCATAACTTTCTTGCAGTTCCCCTGTATCTCAAGGGGTCCCAGCCGCCCTACATGCTAAACTCGCCCCTCAATTCCTGACCCTAAACCCTAAACTTGTCCCTCAACTCTCAAAACCTGAAGCCCATCGTACTGGAGTTTTCCAAAACAACTTCTATAGGATCCTCAATTGGGATCCCCACAACCCCTTTGTAATCCACATATAGCCTTGAGGTCCTTCAGGGTCAATTTGTCTGAGAAATTCTCCTATGGGTTATTCTCAAATTTATGGTCTAGGGTTTAGGGGTATGAATTATATCACGGCACTTAATATTTAGGGGTACCAAACTGAGACCCTAACTTTGGGAACCCCAAACCTTATACACTCCTACATACCCCTCTATTATCTGGGGACCCCAATACAGACCCCACCATACTGTAGTCAATACCATAGGGCCCCCCGAAAAGGTATTTAACGTTTTGGGAAAATCTCAAATGTCTGGGATGTCCAGGAAGGCGAGTCTACCCTTCAGGAAGAGGAGACCAAAACTCTGCGACTTGGAGATAATAGGTAAGATGGACGGTTCACGGTTTAGGACTTACTTAATAGTTCTTAGTAGGCAATCAAGAATACATTGGGGTCATATTCTATAAGGATAATGGAAAAGAAAATGGAAATTGTATTAGAGTATTTACTGGGGTCATAGTAGGTAATACGAATATAATCCCCATGTAGTCCCTATAGAATATACTACCTTAGTCCCTACTAAGAACCAGTAAGTAGTAGGGTAGCTAGATATCATGTTCCTGGCTCCTTGTACAATTACAGTACAGGGTACCTCAAACACCCTCAAACTGCTATTGGTACTTACTCAAGTTGCTCGTGCTAATCTGCTAGGGTGCAGCCTTTCATGTTGGGGCTGAGGCTTGGGGTTTGTTGTCTTAGCGACCTGTAGACGTCTAGGTCTAGGTCGGAATTACCAGCGGTTTCAGTAGACATTCTTGATCGGCAGTCGTTTCTTAAAGCATGGCACCAAGATGGAGCACAGCGCTCTACACCCCCGAATACACTCTCCTGTCATCGCGGGTTCTCATTGTCTGCGTGGGGTTGCAAGGCCATCTAGCTAAGCCTAGCTGCCGCAGCCACGGATTCAAGACCCAAGGCCCGAACCAATAAGCTCTAAGGATCTCTAAGGCCTAGGCCGTGAAGCCGAAATTAACCTTGTACCCTACTGTATACGTGATAGGTTTTGCCAACCCTCAGCCCGGATTCAACAAGCATGTGTCCCACACGGTCCTGATTTCCCATAGCACACCTGTAAGCATCGTGCAAGGCAACGAAAAACTGCTTTGGAAAACCCGGTAGGTGTAGTTTTGGTTATATATATATATAACTAGGTACCACCTTCATAGCCTTGTATGTTTACTGTCAATCATGCCATTTCCATATGGTAATATGCCTACATGGCGTAGAAGAGTCAACATCCCCTTACCCATAGACATCTGGTGCATCAGGATTGCCAACAGAAGTCGCGGTGGAGACGGCGGTGGAGGTGCGTTTGGCAAAAGGTTCAGGGCAGCAATATGGACCCCGACACAAATTCTTAACTCAGGAACCAGAAGTTACGTAGGCAGGAGGAAATATGAAGACGTTCCTTAGAGTAAGTCGTCTTAACGCCCAGTATATCCCCTTGCGCGTGGTGTAGTCATAAGATCCTGATGCAGCTGGAAGCAGCACTGATTATCGCTGAATCTATCAAATCTGGTCCTGGAGAGTTGCAAGATGGAGCTTTTGAGAGACCTCTCCGTCTATCCGCTGAGCCAGGTGACAAAGTACGCCCGAACTGCATTGGCAACACTGAGGGTGATGTCGAAAACCAGGTCGACAGAGGCAAGACGTCTTTGATGCTTTGGTTTTCGCAAAGGGTCTATGTAGGTATATGCTATATACTCCCGGCAACAAGGGGGTATCATATAAATACTTCGGGGCTCGAGTATTACCAATCAGAAGTACAGATGTATAGCTACATGGACCCTGTGGGTTAAGGGGCTAGCTCGTCAGGTGTGAATCAGTCTAGTACGGAGGCCACTACGCCTCAGATTGTTCTGCGCTTGTGTGCCTTTATCTGGTTGAACTTTTGCAGTCTTGCAATTGGGTTAATGTACCCTACTTGTCGTGTATTACTAGCCCTAAGCAAGGGGGAATCCAATCCACAGAACGTGAGCCTCGTGCCGAAATCTCAGTTTCGTGCTATGGTGAAGGTATTGTGGATAATTCTTTTACCCAGTCAACTTGTTGCTCTCTTCAAGCAAAGACCTTTCTCCAGACATTTCAGTTCTCCCAGACACTGCACGTCTATCCCTCGGGCCCTGTGCACAATCTTCCCCGAGCGCAAGACCTGCATCCCAAAACCCTAAAACCTTAAACCCTCAAACCCCAAACCCTGAAACCCTGAAACCCCCTCTGAGAAGGCAAGCTTGTTCGGCTCTACCAGCAGAGACTCGGCCGAAGCGGAGACACTGACAGTGATTTGCCGGTGCCGGTGATATGAGATATAATCAAAACTTCGGGGATTGTCTAGGATTTAGGGTTTAGAGTCTAAACTCCGCAAAGGGGGGCTATACAGGGGATTATATAGGGGAGTTTTGTAGGCTTTTTGAGGGGGATACTCGGAGTTTAGACTTTGGCTCGTATGTAGTGGGGTGTGCCTGGCAGTGTTTGACGTTAATTCGACCTCACCCTAAACTGCTTGCGGTTGGCGCGTGCTCTCAAAACGGCACATCCGAAGGTCTAGAATTCGTAGTAATAACATGTACTAACCATATACTCAGTAAAAATCTATAATATTAGGATTAGTAAGAATTAATGATGCTGATGTTGTTAATAGCGTCTCCGTAGCCATTGCGGCTCTTGAAGCCTTGAGCTAGGGCCATTCTGGGGACCATGCTGGCCTTTGAAAGCTACACTCACGTTCTGTAGACGATAGCGTGCAAGATGCAAGGGCATCATAAGGTTTTCCTTGTAGGCTTAGGGTTTAGGGTGTTCCCAGTCTAGAAATTTGCCTGCTTACAAATGACACTCCATTCCGGGAGTGTGCCAAGATTGTACAGCAGATCATGCCTGAAACATAGCTCAACAACCCTTTTCGTAGCCGACGCCTGAAGCCCCTAAACCCTAAACCCCGATTCTCATCATCAGCCTCAACGCTGAACCTCCAGCCCGGCATGTGCCATGGCGAAGTCGATGCTGGCCTTCCTTCTTGGCAGCGCTACCTCCCAGAGACCCGGGCGCAGGGTTTGCCTGTTGAGTGGAAGTTTATCCCCACCACAAGCACGGTATTATGTGTAATCACCCTCTGTTGGGATTGAGTAAGTTCTGCTTCGCAAGCAGGGGTTCGGAACATTTTTGGGATTTCACTGCGCAGCGATATGACCGCGTGCCAGCTTTACCTTCCGGGAGTTGTAAATTCCCCAGGTGACCCTCTGGTTCTTTGCACCAAAATACACACGAGAATTTCCCTACCTGCATCCGGGGTTATGCGACGACTGAGAGATGATTGCACATGCCCAGGGCAAAACACTTAGTGCACCAGTGCTCTCTGCGTAGCATGTGGGAGCTTCCTCCTGCCCGAGACCCGGAACTCAAGTTCTACATCCTTCAAGGAGATCCCTATGCTGCCCTTATACTCAATACCTGATGTTCCGCATGATGGCGAGGTCAAGGGTTCAGCAGTGTGGAATTGGTGAGTTTGTGTTGGTAAACGCATCGGAATGAATCACGAAGCCTTTGCAAGAAGAGAATTGTTGGCGGCCCCAAAAGGTGAAGCAGCTACACCCTTTTTCGGGCGATTACATGTCAGAGTAAGACAAGTCGTTGAACAAGGGTTTGAATTCCAAGACGGAGTCATGCTACTTGTAGCCCGGTAATTTAGGCGACCTCCCTTATGCCCTAAACTCTCAACCCTCCAATTTAATGTAGTAGCTGTTGGGTACCAAACCCAAAAAAGGAACTACATTGGAGGGTCGGATTTAGGGTTCTAGGGATAAGGGTTTAGGCTTTCGGGTTTGGTGATTTAGGATCTGGTCCATAAAAACCCTTGATAGATTGGCCCCCTATAGCTACCCCCTTTGTACCGTGATCCCGATGCACGACTACCGCCTTCATGACCATTCCCCTTACTTAGCAGCAAATGCACCCTCCTCGGAACCCCTCCAACACCTCTACATGAATCCCAAGCTGGGTTGTGAACCGTACACTAATTTGCAATGCTACATGCCGCTCGTTCCTCGCAATCGGACCTAGAACTAACCAGTTGTTTTCCCATTACCTTCTTGCTTATCGCGGGCGTAATCCGCAATCCGAATTCAAATTCTACACCCGAAACACCCTAAGCCTGAAACACTACGCCAACAGAGCCTCAAACCTAAACTCCCCAATCCCTCAAATCTACAGGAAGGGGCAAGTTTTGGGGTAGAAGAACTCAGAATGGGGCGAAGTGTAATCAGTCCTATAAATTCAAGTTAAGCAGGTATAGTCATGTAACTAGACGGCTCCACCAAAAGCCCTCAATAAACCCTGCTCTCTCCTGCATTAACACCGTCTAAACCCTGCAAAAGCCCCACACAAATCCTGCCCAAACCCTATCTACGTAGACCCTGCATAAACCTTCTGTAAGCCTTCTAGGCCCTTTATAAACCTTGTATAAGCCTTAGATCGCACACGTTAAAAGTAGAAGATCCTAGGGGCCCCTCCTGTGGGAATGAATGGACTTGCGTGTGATTGCGGTCAACAAGCTGCTGGACTGGACTGGTCGTCTTTGGCTTAGGTTCCTTCAGGGTTTGGGTTGTGTAGGGATGTTGAGGGCCTGAGGACTACGGGATATAGGAGGATGAAGTGCAAATCAAGTGAAAAGTGACCTGGGAACTGGGATTAGATACAAAAGTTGAGGGAAAAGGGGCGTTTAGACTTTAGGGTTTTGTGGTTCGGAGCCGCGGGAATTTACAGAAAGAGAGGGAGTTTGCAGTTTGGCTTTTGGCCTCGGGGTTTGTGCTGGCATTTTACAGCTGCATCGGACTTAGGAATTATTGGGGCCTTACTTACGTGAGGTTTTGTACATGGTCTAAGCAGAGCCTCATGCAGTGCTGTCAGTCCTTGTATTCAGCCTCCCCCCATCCAGATCCATAGCCGCATAGAATTTTAACATTGCAAAATATAGACAGTTTGCAAGAAACACTTTGAATACAAAGATAAGCAGCATATCAACATACCTGCAGCGCTGAATTTATTTGCAGAGCCCCTGCTTTTTGCGGGCTTTGGAAAGAAGCGCCTTTCTCGGCATGGCAGTCTAGCGACGGAAGCATGGTCTTCATCGGGACGTCCTGCAAGAACTAAGGGCTGTCACACAGGGAGCTGCTGCTTTGGAGGCTTCCCTGGACCACTGTGTTCTGACACACCGAACTCTGCAGTGTTTGTAAAGTACTGCTCCCGGGCGGATGGGCCTATCTGGCCTATCTTCAGCGACCCTTCACTTACACAATTTGTCACAAAGCGGTCTGCAGACCTAGTTTTTTCCCAATCCTGTTGGATTGGTGCTTCTGAGTGACAAGCCAGCCTCCAAGAAGACATCAGGAGGCACAATGACAAGACAAGTATTGTGAAGCATCCGGAACATCCTCTAAACTCCGTGGTAGCCGCATTAAAGTCTGATGCTAGAACGACAAGTCGACAAGGTTGTGTACAGAAAGCTGAAGACAAAACAAGGCTGCAGATTCAACACCCTGAGCCACAACACCCAAGGCTGCAGATACAAGGCACGCAGCGCGCTTTCCTGGAATCTTGGGTCCCTGATTTTGGTCTACTCTAGGCAGAGTTCAGGGTTTATAGTCCCCCTTAAATAGGAAGAATATGGCTTTGGGTATATTATAATAAGATCCCTATATACTACTTAAGGTGCTTTTCTGGGCTTTGAAGCTTCTGGTTCTTCTGGATCCGGGGCAGCCTAGGGCTAGACGAGTCTTGCATGTTCAGAGTTGAGCCTTTGACGAAGCATTCCTTGTATATAGTCCCCCTGTAGTAGATAGCATATGGGGTATATGGGGATCTTATTGTAATGTACCCAAAGACATATTCTATCTACTTCAGGGGGACTGTAGGTTGAGCTTTCGATTTGTGGTTTTGGGGTTTAGGGAAGTAGCCTTGACTCCGATGCCTAGGTTTTGTGGAATTGGTTCCTGTTCACTTAAGAAGCCAGACCGGCAAGCACAGTCCATATAACTTATCTCGGTTCTTGCTCTCCCCTAAACCCTAAACCCCAAACCCTAAACCCTAAACCTTTGGAGTACGCAAATCTCTTCTTAACAAAAATCTGCCTCAAACAGCGACCTAAACCCCAAACACGTTCGGGTCTCTTGAACCTAAACCTTTGTGCGATGCGCGTGTCTAAACCCCAAACCCTTTTGTAAGGACAGCTATGAGCTTCTGAATCGCTCCCTGGCGGTTTATCCGGACAGCGCTGAACTTTGGGCACTCCAGGTCCTGCTTTTTGTGGGTGTTTAGGGTTTAGGGTTTAGGGTAGAGGTCCCGTGGGGGTTTTGGGGCTGTATAAAACGGAGTATATATGGGCTTACATTTGTTTAAGGTTTCCAAAGGTTTGAGGTCCTTTTCGTGGGGGTCCTCATAAATGAGGATCATGGCAACCCCCACTTGTGGAAACTACCATGACAGAGTCCCCCAAAAAACTTAAGTCTTAATCCTTAAGCCTTACGTAAACCCTACACCCTTGTAGGATTTGGGGCTCCGAGGATGGTGGGGGCTCGTATGCAGTTCCCTTTTGAGATGTACTTAGACAAGCCCCTTACAAAAAATATCAAACCCAAAAAGAAACCACACAGGAGCACTTGGGTATAGCTCCTTTGTCTAATGAGACACCTTGCTTGGAGCAAGCGGCTAGTGATTAGCTTTCTTCAGCCCAGGCATCTCAGACTGATTTCAGAAAGGGGTTTACTCGGTGGGACTTGGTGTGCGACTTTTGCACTTCATAACCTTTAGGATTCGCCTATTTAATTCTATGTCAAGTTCGAGGAGCAAGAATGTGGCTTTGCTTGCACCGTTACAGAGCCACTGAGTTTAGGGGCCGAAGGAGTTGGGTGTGAAGGCCCGCGCTTACAATCTAGGATTTAGGGCTTTGGGATGCAGAGTTTCAGCCTGAAGCCTCGGGATTAGCGTTTAGGGTTTAGGGTTGAGACCACAAGGCAGCCGTCAAGACTAGCGCAAGGCTAATGACTCAGCTTTAGGGTACGTTGAAACCACCTAGAGTTGACGCCGCGGATCGCGCCCGATTGGGCTTGATTTTTAAAGTTTAGAGGTTCTCTGGGGAAACTGATTTGCAATCCTGTGGGTTTATAAGGAAAAAGACAGGGCAACACATATTCATTTTTTGGAACAGGCCTCTTGCCCAACTGCTTCAAATCTGTCATGCGTTGCTTGACTTTAAGGTATTTTAACTACGAGGATGCCTCGGAATTTCAGGGGGAAGGATAGTTGCATGATGTGCTGCAGGCTAAGCTGGAGACATTCTATTTGCTGCAGCTGGGCGTGCATGATCAAATAAGGTTTGGGTTCAGAGCTTTTGGGCATGGAGGTCGTAGTCGAGGGATTTGTGCAATAAGGTTTTTTCAGGAGTTTAGTATATAGTCCCCCTTAAGTAGATAGAATATGGCTTTGGGTATATGTTAATAAGGTTTCCATGTACCCCATATTCTATCTATTTAATTCAGGGGGACTATAACCCCAGTATATACCCTATTATAATATGGCAGTTTCTGTTTTCTTTGGCATTATCCTTATATTCACCAATAACATACCCCATATTCTATCTACTTAAGGATTTTAGTATAGTCTCCGATGCGCGGCGTTAAAAAGGCTCGGGAATGGTTGTGGTTGTGTGTACTGTAGAGCTTTATAATATACCAGGTTTATATAGGGATAATGGAAAATGGAAACTGCTATATTATAACAGGGTATGTATTGTGGTTATATAGGGGTTTAGGGTTATATAGAGATAATGAAAAGAACATGGAAACTTCTATAAATAGGGTATATGTCAGGGTTGGACACCCTCCTTATGGGATCGTTTTTAGCAGTACACATTCCCAAGCCAGAGTAGCATGCCTAAGTCGGATATTGGACTTTCTCAACATGATCCATATATATATATATATCTAGATATCCCTAGGGTGGGTTTAGGGTTAGGGTTTCGGGGCCACCTTCTTGAGAAACTCCTATATGAGGGTTCTTCTAAATGTCCTTTGAAAAGAGGGGCCATTGGGAAAACAGCGCTATTTTGGTGACAGGTATTTTGAACATCCTAAGCCCTAAACCCTTTGAAAGTGAGGCGGACTATAGCCCACGTTGCAACTGAGGCAGTGGAACCTTGCCGCGCATTCTGTGGAACAATCCCTCACCCGAAAAGATGCCTGACTGTAAGGTTTGTATGCAGCTTCAGGGTTTAGGGGCCTTTAAAGCTTATAGCCCCCCTTAAGTAGATAGAATATGGCTTTGGGTATCTTAAAAGTTCTTAAAATAAGATCACCATGTACCCCATATTCTATCTACTTTCGGGGGACCATAACCGCAAGATATACCCTATTATAATATAGTAGTTTCCATTTTCCATTATCCTTATATACCCCAATAATATACTCCAGTTTTTTTTTCTACTTAAAGGGGACTATAGGTGTTGTAGAGTTGAGGATGGCTTTCTGGCATCTTCGGGTCTAAGGGGCTTGTATTTTGCCTGGGTAGGGTGGACTCCAAGTTGTAACCAGGTAATATCTGACAGGCTTTTTTTTTAGCATTCCATGGTGCATGCCCTGGTCCACAAGAATGCCTGATGGTAAGGTTTAATGCAGTCTTAGGATTCAGCGTTTACTCTTTTTTCCCCCGACAGGCCTTCATTGTTACTAGTGAAGCTAGCAGTACTGCTGAGAAATTTGCCTACCTGGCTGCTGGCATCCGTTAATGGCATGGGGGCTTCTTACAAAGATTGCCTGCGCAATTCTGCTTGAAAACCGCGATGATTTCTGCGCAATTCTCTATGTCTACTTAGGGTCCCAAATTTTCCCAGCTGAGATACCCCTAAAAGAGGTTGAATCTGTTAAGCACAAGCACCCAACTCTGAAACCTTCTGTCAACTTCAATAGCCCCAACCCAACCTGACCTCAACTCAGAATACAATATATTGGGATGATAGACAATCAAATGGAAACTGCTACAGTATGTTGGGGTTATATAGGGGCAGTGAAAGTAAAATGGAAACCTTTATAGGTATAGTCCCGAACAGTCACACCGTTCATAAACCAGGACGGTTTTGTAACAGGCAAGCTTAGCCTCCAAGCTAAAACCCAGCGAAGGACACGGCCAACGCTCGCATCTTCCGTGGTTGGCTGGCAGCCACACCAGGTCAGCTTAATCAGTTCCCTGGACTTGAAATAGGGGTTTGCCTTTCAGGAACCTCAGCTATCTACAGGGATTTGGGTGGGATTGGGGCTCCCAACTAATTGGTCGATGGGGGTTATTCTGGGAAAGCACGTTATACGTGATGGTTTGGTATTCGTTGCCCCCATACTGAGGGGGCCTGCGCAAGCAAAGGATGGCCGCCAAGTCTTTTGTTTAGGGTTGTGGTTTAGGGTTCAGGTTAGGTCAACCCCCCCTATAGCTGTAGCTCTTGATATGGAATGAATAGGGCCTTAAAATACCTACAATAGTCCCTTGTGGTATCCATTACTGAGTGGGGGATTCACGAAGGTTTAGGGTTGAGCTGTGGGCTGTAATCAGCCACAGAAGTTAGGGTTTACGGTTTTAGGGTTTAGATTCATGTTTTGCTGTTGGTTCACGGAGTTGGTTGATGGGAATGCCTCCGGAAGTAGTAGTACGTTCCCCTGGCTAACATGGAACCTCAAAAAGGCACCAACAAGGATACAGCTTTAACAAAAGGTGCTACATGTTAGTGTAGGGCAGGGCTAAGGCATCCTTAAGCGGGCAATGGAATCATCCATAACAAGCCTTCCTGGGCCCTTGGGGACCCTACGGCTCTGCATGGGTTTCTGCTACGGATTCTGTAGGAACATTTATGTGACAGTCTGAATATGGGTCCCGCCCAGGGCGTCCCCAAAGGGGTTCCTTTATGTCAAGAAGACCGGGTTGGCCTTTGGGATACTTAAACATTTTCCCTATTTGGTTTCATAAAGATCCTATATACAAATATTTTTCAAAGGGTTTCAAAGGCCAACCAAGAAGATTGCTCGGGCCAGAAGGGTGAGCCCGAGCACTTCAACTTCTGCACTGCCTCTCGGAAAAAGTAAATGACAGAGATCCTGTACATGTGGGTGGAAGAAATGGTAGCGTCCTTAAATCGGGACCCTAATGTAGACCCCCAAATAGTATACTCCTTATTATGGGGACCCCCAAAAAGGTATCCCTAAGTTGGGAAATTACCGAATACTTCCTAGGAATTTTGTACTTCAAACAGAGGCCCTGTAGGTGGTTCAGGTGGTGCAGCTTTGGGTACTTCTCAAACCCTACTACGGAACACCAAGCTCTCCTGATAAACCGCCTTTTTCCAGGACGGCCCCCCCCCCTCTCCCCAACACTCAGGGTTAAAGGTTTCCCCCATCCACCAAAACCCCAAACCCTAATCCCTAAACCCAAAACCTCAAACCCTGAACCCCAAACCTTAATGAGGACCCGCTCAGAGGAAGACCTCCAGACGGCCCAGGGCTTAGCTCCCACAGCCTCTCGGTGTGAAGGTTGGCTCAGGCTTTTTTTGTTTTTATGCTTTTGAGGGTTTACTTTAGGTTGGGCCGCCGCCCACTAATAGTGACCAGAATGGATAATGGTAATTTTATTTAGGTCCTCATATGCTCCTAATGTATGACCATTAGTGGGTGGGGGCCTAACCCAAGGTTTACTGCCTAATAATAGTATTAGTTTGTCACGGGTTTGGCTTTCATTTTTATAGTGGCGTCATTTTTGTTATGCAATTTTGTCAGGTTGCTTTGGGTTCAGCACTCGGGGTTTCGAGTCATTTCGCCCAAAGAAGCATGGAACCCCATATGGGCTTCTGTTAAAAAGAATTTCCGCCATCTTCCTCAAACACGCATGGAAGCTGATGTGATCCCCGTTTGAAGGGCAGCGGTGTATCTCAGTCCCTCCTCAGACTTCCCTGTTTCTTTGGGGAGGGTTAATCCCCTTCCCCTAATATTGGTTTAGGGTTTAGGGTCCCCCCCTCTCCCCCAAACCCTAAACCCTAAACCCTGAACCTTCTTAGTGGGGGGGGGTGTAGGGGGAGGGGACTAAACCCCAAGACCAAAACCTTTGATTCCTGGTTAGCACCTGCCCCTTATCTGGGGCAAACGGGGTTTGAGGGTTTCGGGTTTAGGGTTTTAAAGGGGCTGATGGTTATGTGAAAGCTGCAGGTTTGGATTTCAGTTTTCGGAGAGTCTCAAAATTGCTCCCCTGAAGGGGCCTTGAACAAAGGAGGCATGGAGCTGTTAGGGTTTTGCTATTGGCCTGCTTTCCTTAGGAGCTGTCGAATATGGGCAGTAAAACTACGCTTCGTATTGCCAAGGGTCAAATGATATCCTCAGCGCCTAACGTGGGCTCTGAAGTCCGGGTCCTAAAGGCCAGCCCGATATCCTGGATGTGAATTTTAACCCCTACCTTAGACCCAAATGACCTTCAGCTCTATGCTGTTCTATGGCTATGGTTTGTCAGAAGGACATCTATTCCTGGAAGCATGTCATCGAAGGTTTCTCATCGTGGTAGTCGCCATGCGGACCAGTAAGGATACAACTCGGGATCATAAGTGGAATATAGGAAATCCTCGCATGACACAGCCTAATAACGGCAACCATTTGGATTACCCAAGTTTGCAAGGCAGTTCCTGACCCCAAAGTCTGACAATACCAAACCCCTTTAGACCTTGTAGAAAAGCTAACAGCAAAACATGCTAAACCCAAGAAGGAACTTCATTGGAGGCTCCAGGTACGGCCTATACCTCTAAGACCAAAGATTAAATGTATTGGCCACTAGTATGGGCCCTTATTTACCCAGTATATACATCTAATACACCTACTCGTGCGGACACCGACACCTTAGCCACAAACGAGACCAGTAAACTCTGCAAACTTATCCCTAACCCTAAACTCTAAACCGCTGGCAAGGATTTCTGGCCACACTTCGAGACCTGGCACGTGATGCTTATTGCAGGGGGTGAATAACCAGACTAGTGGAGAATCGAAAGGTAAAACTGCCATAAACAAAACTGAAAATGAAAAGGACACCCGATTTATGCAGGAGTTTAAGCAGAGATTCTGGAGTTCGGGCGTAGACAAGAAGGACTAGGTTTTTGGCGGGTTATGGATTATGAAGCAAAGTTTTGTGTTATTTTGGCTTTACATGACAGCATGGTTTGTGTTCCTTCTGTAGGCGGATACAGGACTTAGTCCCCTCCCCATATATGACTCAGCCCTTGCCTCCCCCGACTACGTGAAACATCCCTTGTGCAGCCCTTGTTTGTTAGAAACCATGTTCACCAGTACATAGTGAGGCGGAGGGTGCTTCACATGTGAAGGGGCATGGAGTATGTGCAACATGAGATCAAGTCTGCAGGCACAATGTGAACTGTACATTTATTTGCGGTCTAGGTCTGTGATTCTGTCAAGCGTAGCATGGGCCTTTTTTGGGCTCTTTGAAGTTTTTTGGGGGGCGGGGGGTTCATCTGAAATGACCAATGTTTTGAGTACTTGCTTCAGCGTGGGTAGGACTTGGAACTTACAGGGCTTGGGGCAAGCCCCCTGGACCCCAACCCAACACAGCATGTATTAGGGGTCATATTAAGGGCTGTATATACTTNNGCAGCATCCAACTTCAACATTTTTTGACAAAGACTGAGCGATGCGTAGGTCAAACCGTGACAGGTGGGGCTTCAGAAAGTCTTGCAGCAGCCATTAGCGGTGTCAATGCTGAAGAAGCAGATGGAAAACAGCATGGAAAGTGGGGCTATGTGGGGATTATGTAATGTAGGGTCCATCTAGGCCCTATTTGCGGGTATTTGTGCTTTATTCGAGGTACCTGCGGTGTCTAGGTTAGATCCTGAACCCGACATGGTAAGGAAATGGCTGCTTGGCTCAACCACATCGCGGCCCGATACGCTGACTCCAGGCATGTGTGATCTTGATGCGATGTTTATTTATCAGGAGCTTGTTCGCAGAGGAGTTTGCCGTTTTAGCATGTTGATTCTGCTCTGCCTAGTCTTTAACAAATGTTGTTCCGAGCCCATGTGTGGCCGGCATTTTGACACATTGAACTAAGCATGCAATTCCCGTGAACCAGAACCAGTAGGAGTCAAGGAAGAAGGAGACAACGCATGCTTGTGAAGAAGGCTGGAGAGCTGGTTCAGGTTTCCTCGGTTAAGATGCGTACACGGCAGTAGGAAGGGGGTTCCTGAGGGAATCTCCTGAGCGGCAACTCTAGATGGTCACCTGGTGTTCACTGCTGCACCAGACCGCCTGCCAGACTTCTGGATATTAGTGCAGGCATGCATCGCTATAGCAATCCCACTGCAATCCCAAATAATGTGGTAGGTTCCATCTTTATCTATTTCCATTCCGTTTTGGGTGCGGACGGCCAGCAAGATACTTCAAAACCGTATGAATCCTACAAACGGAGGTTCCATTTCGTTTCCTGTTCGCTTGTCGATTTGGTTTTCCGTCTTCACCACCCCAAACCTTACACGCTAAATTGCAAAAATCAAGGGAAGCTTCCGATATACCCTCTGTTCCTTCATCCCCTACTAACAGCCCTAAACCCTAAACTTAGACCCCAAAGCTTTGCATCCTGCAGGAAGCAATATGAAATCGTTGAGGCGAAGGCAGCCGACAACGCGCTTCTGGGCTGCTGTCACGGAACATAACTTAAGTTACCCCAATATGGATACACATATTTATATATTCACTTATTTCTGAATCGTCCAGAATGGTAACTTGCTTGTGCCTGCCTCAGACCCTAAAACCCTAAACCCTACATCCTGTAACCCTAAACCCTACATCCTGTAACCCTAAACCCTACACCCTGTAACCCTACACCCTGTAGGCCTAAACCCTACAGGCCTGTAACCCTAAGCCCTGCAACCAGGTTTCTGCAGTTCTTCTTCGGACTCCTTCTGAAGCATCACAGCGAAGAGAGGGCGCGCGGACAGGCGGGATCCGAAGCTAGGATGTAGGGTTTACGGTTTCAGGTTTGGGGTTTCAGGGTTTGTGGTTTAGGGTTTAAGGTTTGAGTTTGGGGTTTTGAGCTTAAGGCCTGGGTTTAGGTTTTAGGGAGCTACAATTCTTGAAGGGTTTAGGTTCGGGGTTAAGGGTTTAGGACAGAGTATATGCCTGGGCCCCTGAGTAGATATATGGAAACTTCTTTGGGTCCCAAGTATATTCTATGTACCCACATGGACCTTTGGCATTGATGGGCAGAAGCTGCGACAAACGCTCAAACTTGTGGGATCCTTGGTTGGGGTCCATCTATTTTTAGGATTTAGGGTTTAGGGGTTTAGGGTTTTAGGATTTAGGGGTTTAGGGGTTAGGGTTTAGGGTATATAGTTTAGGGTATAGGGTCTACGAAGGAGATTGGTACTAAATAGGCTGGGGCTCATTGCAAAGTCTTCCTTTTAAACGTGTGAAGTGGTCGGTGGCCATCGGCTCCCGCCAAGGGCAGATTCAGGAATCTAGGAGTAAAACTTTGTTAGATGATGTTACAGCATACCACTATGGAACCAACAAAGAGCACAGAGCCATCCCTGAGAGTCCCAAACACTAAGCCCCGAGCCCTAAACCCTAACCCCATCACCACCACCACCCCCCTCCGGGAAAAGAAAAAAAGCCGCATGGCTTTGTTGTGGCACCCCTCTGAGGCATTGATGACAAAGGCTATGGCGCAGGCAAGTTCTTTACCCGGCCAGGCGGGATACATATTTTGCAGTCAGGACTTAGGCTTTCTGCGGTCAGGACTTAGGGTTTAGGGGGTTTAGGGTGTAGGGCTTAGGGTTTAGGGAGTTTCTAAACATGAGACGTCTGAGTTTCTACAAGCAGTGTTCACCTCAATCCTGGCCTCATACACTGCATTATTTCTGGAAGCCCTAGAATTAGAAGCTTCTTTGCAAACTGCACCATGTAAAGACCCCCCAGGACTTCAGCAGCACCCTCTGAAGGCCCCACACCCTGAAACCCAAGAGCAAGCGTCAGGTTCAGGTGAAAGAGTTGATGGATTCTCAGGGCTTGAGCTTGAGGGTTGAGTTTTCGGGCCAAGGGCTTGACGGAACGGGATTGGGGCTAACCTTGAATTGAAACTCCAGACCCCGAACCCAATCATTATGTAGGAACAAGTTTTATGCCTGAGCAGAAGCCGTGGTAGTTCGTCTTGAAACCTACGTATTCTACCTTCGGAGATCCGTCGAAAGATATGGTTACACCCCAAATCCTGCACTTCTAAGCCTACATCTCTTGACCTCACACCCCCACAAGCCACCAAGCCCCCTCCTCCTAAACCCTCCGTACATAGGAGGCCCCAATGTAGACAGCAATATATTCCAGTTCTTCGTATAACGGCTCCCGAAGATTCCCGAAGACGGGCACCTACTGGGTGGAAACCCTAAGCCCGAAACGCCATCACCTCAGGCAGCCGGGAATTTGGCGTTTCAGGCCCAGCTTCTGGCGACGAGGGGCAGAGACGTGGAAGCTGCAGAGTGCTGCGAGTTCTCGAAGCAGACCTTGTGCTTCCTTTGATGGGGATTCAGGATTCAGGGTTTAGGATTTTTGTGGGGCTTGAGGTAGGGATCTGAGGCTTTAGGGGCATTGAGGGTTCGGGATCTAGGGTCGAGGGTTGAAAGCAATCGGATCAGGCTTCTACATTTGCACCGGTTGAAACCCCAAAGCCCCAAGCCCTGCGCGCGTAGGGTTATAAGGGGCGGCCTGGGAAAGAACCATGGTTTCCAAAAACCAAAAAAAGTGGAGCCCAAATGGATTCCAGAAATCACCTTTCAGTATCCGGCTATATCAAAAATGAGCATTCAATGAATTTGGGTTAAGCCTCCATTTTCGAAGCTTGGCCCGAGGCAGGCTTGTTAATGGGCAGATTGTGAGGAGGAGAGGGGAAAAGATGCTCCTCTTTTCAAGTTAGTCCTGGCACCTGAGCCCCCTTATCCAGTATCCTTGGATTCAAGGCTGGGCAAAAGTGAAGCCAACATGGACCTCCACTTTTCATTGAGCACCAAAACGGAGCCAAAATGAACGTACGCGTTTTGGGGGGTCCGTTTGGGCTCCATTTTGGCTTCAATAATATTGGCTCCATTTTGGCCACAGGCTCCATTTTGATTCCATGTTGGTAAACAGGAGCCAAGATGGATCCCCAGAAAAACATGGAGCCAAAATGGACCTCCATTTTGTGGGTGTCCATTTTGGCGCCATGTCTTCGCGAAACTGGAGCTAAAATGGGAGCCAACATGGTAGAGCCAAAATGTGGGCCAAATGGAGTCAAAATGGGGCCAAAATAGAGCCTACACTGAATCCCAAATAGACGACTCCCAAAAAAAAGGAGCCAAATACAAGCTGTCATGGACTTTATTTTCCCTTGTGCTCCAAATAGGAGCTGAAACTCCAAGCCCCAGACCCTGCAAAACCTGGGAGCCTGACCAGAAGAAGCCGCGTACCCGTCCCCCGTACCCAGCTACCAGACTCCGCAAGACGAGAGGGCCAGATCCCTGGAAGACTCCCATTCCTGATGTTCATTTTTGGATATCTGGCTCCATTATTTGCATGCTGATCTTTCCAAGATTGCCTCTCATAAGCATAGGGTTCGTGTGTCACCCGAGGAGCCAGACCGTGTTGTATTCTAGGGTGCATATTTTTCGTAAGGCTTTATGGTTCAAGTTGAAATTTTGCCGCCATGCCATATTGTTCATACATTCACAGTGAAGTCCTTCATTCATTACTAACCTCATATTGTCTCACCAGCGGGAATGATTCCTAATGATCCCTGAAAGGTGTGTACTCTTATTCAGCATTTAGGCTAGAATTTAGGATTCTGGGTTTCGGGTTGAGGGCTGTTAATGTGGGCCTTTTGCATTCCCCAAATGCCACGTATACGAAGAATGCCTACATGTTGCCCTCAGGTTTGTAAGTATTACCTACATTTGGCAATTTGGATCCCTAGGGATTCAAGTCGAACCGAGGATTTTGGACCTGTCGGTCACGAGCGCTTCAGTGATATGCAGCCTTATCCAGCAGCGCGTGCTGGTAGTTTGATGACGTTGCTTGTGAGAGTGCAGGCTCCGCTGATTCGTGGGCTATATGAGCCATAATCTACACTCCTTGAAGGTACGTTTTATCGTGGACTATATAGGGGAGTACTACAGTGATTAAAAAGGGGGAAGCTGGGGTTTTGATTTTGACTCATATATTCACGTCTGTGGTATGAGCCTTTCTTCCTTGACCCGTCGGACTTAGGGTTCAGGAGCGCCTATACTTTTGGGGCTATTGCTGTGCCAGTACTGCGGCCAGAAGTTCCTGTTTCAATTTGGGGTAAGTAAACAGATGAGTCATCACAGCTTCTCTTGACATTGGCCTTTTAGTTCCATAACGCACACCATATTCCTAAAACACTGCCAGGCATGCAGACCTCTTTCATAACATGTCCGTCTTTTCCTCCTCAGCGTTAACAGTAAAATGTACAGCGTTCCGGCATGAATCACTGCCAAATTCGGTGCAGAAGCCGGCACAGTGCTTGGCTGTGCTAGTGTAGCTTTACTGGGACTCATGCTTGATGATCTCCCAACAAGAGCGAGTGTACCCAGAGAGCCCCCTGCTCCTTGATTGTTAGAGTTCAGCTGGGATGTAAGGTATATGACGGTATGCAGGGGCATTGTTTTTCCAGGGGGGCTTGATGTTGCAACGGCAAGCAAAGGCCGCAAAAATCGTGCTAATTGTGTACCATGTTCCGCTTGAATTCTGAGCCCTAGAGTTTTATGTAAACATTTACTATGTATCAACTAGATTCTGACTCTGCATTGGCGCACCATGGGCGCCCCACTTGATGTAGTTGGAGTTAGAGCCAGAACGCCTGAGAATCACATCATCGTTCTTGTGGAGGCGCCAAAAAGCTTCTCGACGTGGACCTGCAGCTTGAGAACCTCTTTGCAGTGTATATCGTCCTTTAGGTTGTAGTACCTTACAATTCGAGAAGAATCTTGTTTGAATCGGCTACCACAAACCGCCCTGTAGTAATTTCTTTCCATTCCCCTTAGACATAAATTTTAATCCCTAAACCCTTAGCTCCAGGGAGCTGTAGCCCAGGTAAGCCATAGACTATACTCCTAATATCTTCCGTGGTAACCCCCTATAATGGTCCCCTATATCACTCCCTTTGAGGAGTAACTCTAAACCCTAAATAGTAGATTCCAGCTTCTTTTCCATTATCCCGATATATACCCTATAATCCCTATATAAGTATATCTCACATAGTAGCCCAGGTGGCCATCAAAGAACATGTTCTGCTGCTGTGGCTGTTGCATGACAGGCCGAGCTTGGAGCAAAGGTTTAGGGTTCGGGGCTTCGGGTTCTGGATTTAGGGTTTTGGGTTTGCGGTGTAGGGTTTAGGGGCTTAGGATTTTGTGGTAGGATGTTGAATCTCTAGGGTTTAGGAGGTGTGGGAACGATGGGCTTTGGGCGTTTCAGGTGGGTATTACACTCTCCCAACCTATTTAGAGTTTCATGGAGTTCTCACGTAACTACTCTGGGGCCCAAGTATATGGTATCTACATATATACGTAGCTTTGAAGAGTACAAAGTGGTTGACGGGATCTCAGAAGATATTATGATATGGTTAGATATGAGCATTTATTGGTAGCATTTACTGGGACCTGAGGACTTGTGCTAAAGCAAGTTTTTTCATGCCTGGGCACAGCCCTAAACCCGAAACCTTAAACCCTAAACGCCCCAAACTGCGCAAGAACAGCCTGGAAGGTGGCACAGACGAGTGCTACTGCCCAAACATGTGCGTTTGGTGTTTCATCCTCGTTCCAAGCTGCGGCTGGGCTTCTTACCCTAAACCCTAACCCTAAAACCTTAAACCCTAAAACCCTAAGCCCCAAAACCCTAAACCCTAAAACCCTAAGCCCCAAAACCTTAAAACCTAAAACCCTGAACCCTAAAACCCTAAACCCTAAAACTCTAAGCCCTAAAACCCAAAAAAAGGTGGAGGTAGACTCAGGGTGAGGGATGGGGAGCTCAGCTTGGCGGTCTTCGGATTGAGGGCTCTGGGCTCTAGGATTAGGGACCCTATAGGCTCATGTTTTATATTGGGGTTATATTAGGGGTTTAGGGTTTAGGGGTTTAGGGGTTTAGGGTTTAGGGTTTAGGGGTTTAGGGTTTAGGGATTTAGGGTTTAGGGTTTAAGGTTTTAGGGTTTAGGGTATATTGGGAAAATAGAAAATGAGATGGAAAGTACTATAGTGGGGTTATATAGCGTTTAAGGGATTAGGGTAAATAGGCTCATGTCTACTGTAGGTTGTATTAGGGGTATGCTAGGGTTATATCGGGATTTCACTGGGATAATGGAAAGTACAATGGAAACTACTATAATGGTGTCATATAGGGATAATGGGAAATAAAATCGAAACTGCTATTTAGGCTTGAGGGTTTAGGACCTTAAGCCCTAAACCCTGAATCCTAAACCCTAAACCCCAATTCACGGCCTTCAGAGCTCGGCGGGGTGAAGCTACCGGAAGCGGACCATGGTCTTGGGAGACGCGGTGGTAATGGTGACCCATGATTTAATAAACCCATCCCCTCCTTTTAAGGGCCTTTAACATAAGGATCCCTACTATAACCCCTATTAAGGGGAGCGGTTGATTAATTAGGGGTTTACATTAGCCGGTAGCCCTTAACTTGAGCTCCGAACCTTGAATCTTCTCTAAGGTGTCATGGGGCTAGGTTTGAACATTTCCATTTTGCTACTTGCGAACCCGTCTTAAGGGTACTAGAGTGAGTAAGTCCTCAGTGTTCACAAAATGTCAGAATGTGGATGGGTCGAATGGAGACCCATTTGGCCTCTCTAAGCTTGGCCGCCGCCGATCTCATGTACAGACTTTACAGACCCTTACTCACATCTTAGCACCTTACAACTTCGGCAGGTGCTTTTTTGGTTAAACGGGTGTTCAAATTGTAGCAGTCTACTTATGGGCATAGTGTGGGACTTTCAGTGGCTCCCTTATTACATTTAATTGGCGGCCATGAATGTAAGCTGAGGCACCTACTTCGGCTTCGTGGCACCCAAGCTCATCTCACATGGCATCTACCTTCTCCCAGGTGCCTGCCAAAGGGGTCGGTTTAGGGTTTAGTCTAGGCTTTAGGGCTAGGGGGTCAGAGCTTCGTGGTTTGTAGGGTTTTGCGACAGACATGCTTGCACAGACCTTTCACTTGAGCCTTGCTGTCATTCCCATAGCATTGAACGCCGGCTGACGGAAAGGGAAGTTGATGTATGTAGATATTTTACATCTGCAGTACAGCCAGGACTACTCAAATACAGTGCCCTAGTCCATCCGCAGCAGCACGCAGTCCCTCGATACTCCCGCATTGGAAGATAGCCCAGGTGAGGCACCGTATCCCCGCTTGTGTTTCAAAGACCCGAAACTCCTGGACAGATTGCTCCCAGGCCGTATAATTACACACCTCACATTCCAATCCTGATCCCTGAACTTCTCTAAATGTTTGCACTTGCACCTCCTACCTGTATCAGAGGCTTGCAACCCATTTTGCAAACAGTGGCGGTGGTACCTTCTAATCTCCGCCTCCCCTTTCAAGAGCCTCAGGAGAAAGGCTTATCACCCTAAAGTCCAAGTTGCCACAAGACGAGTTCAGCAAATTGTTGGGCACATGAGGCTGACGCATTGCAGTCTTTTTTTGGTTCTGGTGTTTTCTGGCTAAGGGTTGTAGAAGCTCGCTTTCAGAAGCTTTCTACACCTTGTTTGGATTCCATGAGAGCTTCAATCAGGCTCTGAGGCAGGAGGCCGGCTTCAATATTTGTACCAAGTGCAAGCGGGCTTGTTCCGACTTTGCACTTTTTTTTCTGCCGCTATGATTGCTAGAAGGCTATAGTTAGAATCACTCTTATTCTGGAGTATGACGCTACTGGGTGATTGCTACATGTGCCTTTCGTGGTGTTATAGTTCTTGGGCACCTTATCGTTTTTGCAACTTCCCGCCGTCAGGAGCAACGCTGGCCATATTCCTCATTGCCACCGGTTTACTTCTGGCCCCTTGGTAAAATGGGTATGAAAGGAGGGCCCTAAACCCTAAACGCCTATATGTTTGCGGATCCATCTTTGACCAGGAAACCCAGCAGTGAATCAAGCTTGCATGGATTCTGCCGTAGTCTGTCTCACGCATCCACGTAGCGACAAAGAACCCAAGCAACTGAAGCCTTGGGTCACCATTTCAACAACCTTCTGAGGCAACCTGCTGTACAGACCCCGGCATCATTCCATGCCGTGAAGTGTCCTGGCTGCTACAGTTGTCATGGGGCATCTCAAGAAGTGAAGATTACGATGTCAAGAAGTGAGGGTCATAATGGAGACATACAAGTGTATGAGGGCCCCCAAATTTGTTTATGCTGGAAGGCTTTGCCGGGCCATCTGCAGGCCAAGCTTGTCCCGCCGTGTAGCAGAATTCGTTTCAGGCTTCAGGGCTTCCTTCAGCAGCCGTCCTGATGAAGGTCCCAGCGTATAGATTGCAGGCGCCACCTTGCACCTGGTTGTGGGTTGCATGTTTCTTGGCCCATGCTCTGAATAGTTTGGGGGGGATTCTGTCTAAGGGGCCTAGCAACTCTAAGGGCCTGAACTACATCTACTTGGAGGGTGAGGGGGGCTTCGTGGGGATAACTAGGGCTACTATACCGGTTATAGGTGTTATTAACCTACTTGCTAGGTCCCCACGACCATCCAAGTATGGTCTAGAGTAGGCGATGGCCTCGTGTTCAGAGCGTAGGGTGTATACCCTGACCATCACAATGACACTTGAACATGAAAGCATCTCAGCTTAAAGTGGCCCTTGAGGTAGTGCTGGCGACAGGCGGGCACAGGGCCTGGGTTCAGGCGGTTGCGCTAAGGCTTAGCATGCACGTCGGGCAATAGGCTCAGAGTCCCTGATCCCATAACCTTTAGACTCAAGGTTTGTAGCATGGAGTGGACAATTGTATATCCCTCATAGAACCCTTTTGTAATGTGGGGTTGGTGTGAAATCGCAGTTTTT